TATATATATATATATATATATATATATATATATGTGTGTGTGTGTGAGAGCCTCATTAATCGTAGCATGCTATTACTTCTTAGTTTTATTTCATATATTAATTGTCACAACTTCATAATTCAGTAACATGGAAGTTTCACCTTTACAAATTCTTGTCTCTTTCTCTTATATTTGTTTTATATATAATAGGGTCTATAAACCAAATTCATTGAAAATCTTTCTTCTCATTCATCGTCATATTTCTTCTTATAGATCATTTTCTTCGTTATTTATTTATTTTTCTGATATCAAATGTATTTGCATTATGTGTTATCTTTTTGAAGTATTCTTAATCCCCTTTTCATGTATGAGATAATTTGTGTATCCTGCGTTTGTGTTTGGATATATTATTTTTATTTAATGTTTAATTTTATTTGAACAATCTTCAATTTATAGATATTGTTAAAAGTCTTATATCTTATATCTCATATGAAAAAGTATGCTCATTATCTTTATATAAGAAAAGACGTAATTATTAAGATTAATTTTAGTGATTAATCATCTTTGTAATGTTTTCTATCTTTATTAAAAATATATATATATAAGAAAAGACGTACATTGTTAAGATAAAAATAATAATTTTTTATTGTAAAAATTTTCTTGCATATGTTTAGTGAGAGTAAAAATCTAAATTTGTACTATTTTTGTTATTTATGTTTTTATTATTAGGTGAATACATAGTAAGGGTTTACTCAATAAATATTTATCTTTACTTGTTTATATATCTATATGAGTATCTGTTAAGTGGGTATCTATATATTTTTTTAATATTTGTAGATACTCACGAGTATTTACTTAAAAAAATATATATTAAAAATACTTAACAAAATATTTTAACTATACATTTTAGTTATTTTTAACAATTTTTTCTTTTAAAAGTATTAAAAATTTGCAAAATAAAATTTTCTTTAAAAAGAGTTTAAAGATTATAACTAAAATTTAAATAAAATTTGCATAAAAAGTTTAAAATTTGAAAATTTTAAATTTAAATATTCTTCACAATTATAATAATGGAAATAAGTAGATTTAGAAATTGAATTTTAAACATTCAATCACATAAGTTTAAAGTTCAAACAATAATTATTAAAATAAATTATTTTTATTATATATAAATTGAAATAAAAGATAATAACGTACAATACTTAATTATTATAAATTCAAACAAAGGTCAAATAAAATCAAATTATTACATGTTTAAATAAAATTACAAAAGTCAATAAAACCATGTTAAACACAATCTTGAAAGCATTTAAGAATTAGAATATTAGTGGGTTTAACACAATAAAGTCAATATATATGTATATTATAATAATATTAGTGCGTCAAGATAGAATAAGATATGATATGAAAGTAGAATAAGATAAGAGTAGAAAAAGATAAGGGTGGAATATGATAAGAGTAAGATAAACTTTAAACATACCTAATGTTTGATGCATATTATAATAATAAATCAATGGGTTGTCGTAACCCAAAAATTTTCGATCTTATAACCAATGGTTAGGACTACCTTTTTGAAAAATCTCATTAATTAAAGAATGTCCGGATACCAAACCAATCCTCAAATAATAGTTTTGAAAAATGAGTTTATGGAGTCGTCACCAATGTTTTACTCAAAATATTGGAAAAAGAAAAGATTTTAAAATTAAAATAGAGCTCTTCAGAGCCAAAATTGGATTCGAGGGTCGGTTACGTGTAGGGAAGGTATTA